GGCTATTTCCTTTGGTTTCTTTGCACTATTAACTAACAAGTAGAACAAGAGTGACCCAACTAGTCAAGAGTAGAAAGAGTTCAGTATTCTGCTTAACCACCCCGATACATCTCATTATACTACGTGTGATATCCCCATTTTCATGACCAATTTAAAACCTTTTCTTTATGCTTATTTGAATTCAGAGTATTCATTAAATTGCTGAATTTGTTCCCAAAACGTAACTATGAAGTATTTCTGAAGAAATATATTTCATTGATATATAAAAACCTTGGGATATCATCATCAATACAGATATATAAGCATAAAATTGTTTTAACAGGCCTTACAACAATTTATTATACTATGACCAAACAACTCCTCAAATCACTTATCAACCATGTGCCTTCATACCGATAACTGTGATACAAAGAAATTAAATGGGTCAGGCTTGGGAGCCTGGTGAGCACATAGGGTTTTCAACCCAAAATAATTAAGTTCTTTAATGATATAATTCACATCAAATAATTCAACCGATCACCCATTCCCGTTATTGTCACGTACCGATCCTAAAATATTGATCTCAAGGGACCCATCCTAAGGATTACCATCAACAATGGGTAGATAATACTACTTGGGGGATTCCTTTAGAAATATATGTCAATAAGGCAACCGTGGGGGATAGAGTACATCAAATGAACAGATAGTTCATTAACACCTACAAGTTGCGAGCCTGCCAACATTTCCACTGGACTGTCTAGAATTGTCTATGGTCGTCATTTATACTCTGCTAGACAACTGGTTCATCAATCGTCAAGTCCATTCATCATCATCTCATCATTTTCATCACCCATCACTAACCAATGTATTTTTATATATGAAAATACATATACAATTAAATCAAGTAAAAATCACATAATTTATCTAACATGGATATCAAGGAATACATATAATAGGCACATATAGCATTTAATCATCTAGATACTTTATATCTATGTGTAAGCTGAAAGTAACTATGCACTCGCTTGTTAAAGTGGATGACTTGAAAGTTGGACAGTGCTTCGCTTCAACACTTAGCCTTTCCTTTGATGTAACCTAGGTTCAATTATCACTAAGTCTTTGTTTATTATTTCTTATGACTAATGATAATCTAGATTCCTCAACAATCCCAATGTATACAACAAGATGTATCAAGTAAGGAAGAACTAATCATGATCATATCGGAGGTAGGGTCTATTTGGTATATAGAGTATACTGTTCGGAAATCCCACTTTAAACACATCACTAAATCCAGCCTGGACATCATCCCTATAAGTAGATCAATCAGTATAATGACTTGGAATAACTGATAAATCTTATTTATAAATTCATAATAACGACTATAAATATAAATATAAGTTACATTGAAAGCAATATGAGTGTAGCTTAACTTAAATAGATTTTCCCTACAAAAGTTCGGAAATTGCACTGGCAGAATTCTTACTCGATAGATCCTAATTATTGGGATCTCAGGGACCACAGGGCTTCGCCAAATTACCTTAGATAAATTACCTTAGATACTGAGAATTTGCAGGATAAGGGTTATAAACTTGAGCTCAATGATTCAAAGCTTTGAATCTCCTATAGTGGCTCCCAGATGCACAACACACAAATCTTCGCCAAGATCTGAGATGGTTAATTAAGTTACAAGGTAATCTCTCCCTCTCTCTATATATTCTTTTGTGTCTCAAATTTCATGTGAGATGAAGAAATATGGGAAGCATGTTCCTGATTTCTCTTTCACTATATATCCAATAAATGCCTTAACTTGTGTATGATATTTGGATAGGTTAAAACTGTATCATTTAATTTCTTTAATTTATTTTATTTTTGTTCGACATTTGGATTTATTTTTCAAGATCCCACCATAAGAGATCTATCAAGGTTTTCAATGTGACAATACCAGGTGTGTACTTTTTTTCTTTTCTTCCATATTATTTTTTTTCTGTCTTTCTAACTTTGTTGAAGAGTATGTTTAACTCTAATTATTTATGTTTGTGTTTTTACTTTGTTTTAGTGGTTTCTGATGTAGGGTTTGAAAGAAATTTGATTATGTAGCGGTGTGAACCTGCTCCTTTTTAGGCACGGCTACTTTCTATTGGAAGTGGTAAACCTGAATTTCTATCCTCTTCCAACCCTTCTCACTTTCTCATTCGATCAATTTAATTATAAATTTCTTACTTTGTTTTCTTTTTTAAATTCAGTTTTTTGTGTTTTTTCTCCTGATATGCACAGTTTGCTATAAAGTAATCTGTAAATAAAGATTTGAAATCTGGGTGTAATTGTATAAGTTTTGTAATCTTTCTGAAGCAACCGAGAAACACAATGCACTAAACTATTTTGGCAACCAAGTCAAGCTACTTTGAATTCTGTTTTCTAAAGGCTTAACCTGTTTTGTATTGTTTATATATGGTTGAAACTTGATTCGTATATTTCTTTAATCAACTCTAAATTAAAATGATGCTTCAATTAATTTTTTACATGTCAAAATCTCACCCTTTACTTTTGCTCCATTCCAGCTTTTTGTTTGTGCCGAAGGAGGGAAAACTGATGTAATGAAGATCAAATTTGGTTGGTACTTAGCTGCAACTAGATCACTTTAGTGGCTAATGTTTGAAATAATTAGTAGTTAAATAGATAATTGTTGGTGAGTTGTTGGATAGTTTTCAGATTTAAGTCAAATCATAATGTTTTTTTTTTATTTATTTTTTTATTTTTTTTGTAAATTTTGGATTTTGGTTGAGTATTTATTCTTTTAGATTATCATGTATAGTAAAATAGAAGTTTAATTTTTTTTTTTTTTTTTTTATAATGAAAAGGTTTAGTTTTGTAAGTTCAATGTTAACCCATTTCTTGATTCTGTGCATTATTTTTTATTCAAAAGATAAAAAGAGATTTATGTTCGCAATTTGTTTTTATTTTTTAATTATTTTTTGGAATCTCATAGCAATGTTGGGTATTTCAAAGTAATGTTCAATATCATTTGTGATGATAAAGATTATTGTTTTTTATTAATTTAAAATTTGTTTGTTGTCCAAAAATTTAAATAGATGAAATAATGGATTTAATAGGTAACTTGATGAGAGTCAAGTTGATAAAAAAAGAGATGCAAAATACGATCAATTTTTAACGTTTAAAATTTTATGTTTAAAAAGATACTTTTAATGTGAATGTTTTTTTTTAATGTTGATCCTTTAAGGATGGGAGGGGACAAGTTGGACATGCAATTGGGCCTGAGGATATAGAGAACAAAGATGAACATGAAGATGGGTCCTAGGGGCATTCAGAAACTATGATGCTTGTACCTCTGAATTGGTATATTTGGTATATTTATTTGTAAATCTATGTGTCATTTTTTAACTTTCTACATCATTATACATTGAAACTAGAACACATTCTGATTTTCATACTTTATTTACATTTTTTATAAACTGTCTATACTTTGCTTGTAAACTAGAACTTCATAAATGAATTTTGGGTGTAGATTGGTAATATTTGAGGAATTTGAGTGGTTTGATGTGTTAGTATTTTAGGATGATTAAGATATGGTGGTTGAAACATCTGGTACAATCACTTTCAAAATCATATCAAATCTATCTCGACCAATATAGTGAAATAACATTTTATTAATTAATGTTAAGACAATTGCAAAGAAATATCAAAAAATTTCATGTGATTGCTTCAGAGCAAAAGAGTAGTAATGGTTTTGTTAAATGGTGTTAAAATATAATCCATATCTATTTGCTTTATAGAAGAAGACAAATGGTTGTGCTCCATTGTTAAATTTTGTGTGCTGATTCTTTTGAGGGTGTTAACATTAATATTCATTGAGTATATTATTCAAGTTTTTGCTATTCAATGTCAAAAGTTATAAATCGCCTATAACATCAATAATAGACGAACAAATAGTTTAAATTTTATATTTGCTTAAATACTAATATTCTAACTTTAATTATGCACATATTCAACGACAATGATAAATTTTAGACAAAATTGCAAAAATGGTCCCTGTGGTTTGCATTTTTTCAGGAAAAAAGTCCAAACCACGAGTTTTTTGGTTTTGTGGTCCTTTTGGACTGGTTTGTTTGTGAGAATGGTCCCTATACTTAACACCCGTTAAATTCCATCCGTTAACCCCCTCATGTGCCTTGCACGTGAGGGTATTTCTGTCCTTTTACTTATAGGGACCATTTTTGCATATGGAAAAATAAAACATCCTTTATATATCGTTTTCTTTTCCCAGCTTCTTCCCCAACAAATCTTCTTCCCCAACGTTCTTAATTGTTCTTCCCCAACGACTATTATCTTCCATTTCTCCTTTCCTGACTTGCAATCGAACAATGGTGGTTTGTTTTTGTGGAAAGCTTGCTTTGGTGAAAACGTCTTGGACACCACTGAATCCCGGCAGGAGGTTTTATGCTTGCCCTACTAAGGATTCTGTTTGTGGGTTTATCGGGTGGGTTGACCCACCTATTTGTGCTAGGAGTAAAACCATCATACCTGGTCTTCTAAGAAACATAAATACATTGGAGGAAAGATGTAATGGGCTGGTAAGAAGTATCAACATGTTACAGGAACAGTGTAATGGACTTTTGAGCAGGAACAACATGTTGGAGGCAAGGTGTGATGCATTGAAGGATGAAGGTTTCAAGCTGAAGATGTATTTATGTGCAAGTTGGTTTATGTTTGTGATTGTTATCTTTAGTACTTGGTCTATGTAAGGGATAGGGTTAGGCAAATGTGGGGATTTTTGTTGATCAAGTGATGCAGGGTAAAAATGGTATAATTTTGTTGTAATTTGACTTCATCATGTTTGTAATGAATTCCAAAATGTGTATCAGTTGTGTTCAAAATGTGTATCAGTTGTCAGATATAAGCACATAAATAGAACCAAAATGTAACAAAAGTACATTACCAAAATACATGTCATAAATTTACCAAAATGAACATTCCATTAACCACATGAGTGGAACCAAAAACCATTACCAAGTTAAGCATACAAGTGTCTGTGCACCATACATAACCACATCATCAAACCATAACTAAAGTTTTCAAAAACAAACAGTTTTTAACAACAAGAAACTAAATAGTCATTGCACCACAACAAATAACCACAATCACTTCTTAGATTGATTCCCTCCTTGCCCTTTACAGGTCCTAGAGTTGTGTCCTTTATTCTTGCATTTGCTACAAGTAACACTAACATGTTTCCTTGATAGCTTCTGCACTCATCATTTCTTGGCCCTTGGGAATTTTCTCCTTGCATCTCATTGACTCCATCACCTTCACTTGCCTTCTGCCTTTTGCTTAACCTTTCACCCTCACTTTGTCTTCTTTTTTTCTTAGGCCTTCCCACCTGAGTGTGATGTGGAGGAGGGATTAGCTTTGTTGGACAATTACTTTTAGGCCACATGGGTCTCCCTTTAATTGGTTCCACCTTAAATGAATAAGCTTTTTGCCATGTCTCTAGCCAATACACCTTGTGTACCCACTTGTAAATGTCAAGCTCAGCCTCAGGGTCTTTGCTCATTTCATTCAGAGTTGCAATTGCATGCCTGCAAGGTATTCCCATTAATTCCCACTTTCTGCAAGTACAGGTTTGGTTCCTAACATCCACCACATGTTGATCTTGCAATGCTGCAGTGACTTGATACTTGTTTGCCCCATTCCACCTAGCAATATATTGTGAAGCACCTTTTTTCCTTGCATCTAGGATGTCTGTTGCTGTAGGTGTTAGTGGACCTTTAGCCTTCTTCATTGCCTTCATGACATTGCATATCCTCTTCATTAGATACTCCCTAATGAACTCTAAACATGAAATTACAGGTTTGTCCCTGCCTTTCTCTATCTTCCCATTAAACACTTCACACATGTTTGAAATCAACACATCAGAAACAGCTCTTCCTGCACATTACAATAACATACAATTAATGCTGATAAATAACTGAAACACATAATCTTTACCATATGCAAACATATACAATTACCTGAGAAATGACTCCTTGCCCAATGTACAGGAGGAATTTGCTTCAACCATTGACATGCCTCCTTATCATACTCACTAAACTCTTTCATCAAATGTTCAAACTCAGGAATGGTGGTTGCTGATGCACACCTCCATAAATGGTCCCTGTACTCAGTTTGCCCCCACTTCTTTCTCATATTGTCATGAATATGTCTAATACAATACCTATGCTCAGCATTGGGAAACAATTGATCAACTGCAATTTGTAATCCCTACATGACTCAACATACAATAATTAGAATTAATTTCTTGGTAAAAAAACACAATCTAAATGATCAATTGATGAGTTTTAATTTACCTTTTGCCTGTCACTTATGAAAGTATAGTTTGAGTTGCTCCCAAGCTCCAAGTCATCCCCAAGGTTTTCTAAAAACCACTTCCAGCTAGCTGTGTTTTCAGACTCAACAATTGCATAGGCTAAGGGATAAATTCCATTGTTGGAATCTAGACCAACTGCTGTAAGAACCTGACCAGGGAATGGGCCTTTCATGAAGGCACCATCCAAACCTACTAAGTCTCTAAGACATGCTTTGAAACCTTTTTTCAGTGGACCCAAGCATACATAAATCCTTCTAAACTGCCTTGTTGGGGATGCAGGGTTGCCATTAGGACACACATCTATTTTGACTGTTGTGTCTGGGTTTGTAGCTTGAAGTTCAAGAGCATAGTCCCTCAACAACTCAAACTGTTTTGTGTAGTCCCCAGTTACATGCTTTCTTGCCATATCTTTTGCCCTAAACACCTTATCCATTGAAATACCCACCTGGTAGGTCTTTTGAAAGTGATCTTGTATGGCTCTCAAAGGAATCTTCGGATCTGCCTCAACTTGATCTATGATTTTCTTGCAGATTAAAGAAGCAGTACAAGCTCTGAGTTTTCTTGTTTGTAAGCATGTATGAGTTTGGTTTAAGGTCCTTATAAACCAATCAGATTCGGGGTTTGACCTAGATGCATGTATATACCAACCACATGTTTCTTTTTGTGTCTTTACTTCTTTGCCCTTGCTTTTTGAAGTGGTAGGTTTAGTCCCCACTTGACCTTTATTGATGACAGGTACAACTCCTCTGCACTGTGCCCTAAGCCTTTGACTGTCATTTTTTTTAAAGAATAGATTCCTTCTTGTTTCTAGTGCGTGCACATCAATTAACTCCTTTAATTCTTTTTTACTTTTAAACTTTTGCCCCACTGAGAATGACTGTATATGTACTGACCCAAGGTTGCACCTTTTTTCTTTTCCCAAATTTCTTATGAGAGCTCTTCTTTCTCTGTCTTGGTCTGATCCTTCATCCAATGATTCGAACTCCTCATTGTTGATCACTTCCATATCTTCAGGTTCATGACCATCATTAATACATGCTCCTTCAACATCACTTTCAACATTTAAAAGAAGTCTGCCATGTCCACATCAACATCTTCTATATTGTTCTCCTCATCCATTATGTCATCCACTTTATCTTCATTTTCTGATTGTTTCCCATCATGATCATCACCTTCATCCTTTTCATACTCTTCATCACTCTCTTCAGATTCAACATCCCCTTCATACTCTTCAACATACTCATCACTTCCATTTAAATTTTCCATAAGGTTGTCAAAAAGTTCATTATATTGTTCATCATCATTAATGGGTGGGGTGTTGTAGCATCCATCAATATGGTCATTATCATGAACCCCAATCATCTCATCCCCTACATTAGCAATATTTGAAGTAAATGGATTGTAGCATCCTTCAACAACAGTTGCAGCCTCATGAACCTCCTTAACACCCTCATTAGTGTTTTCCTTCTCTTTTAAATCATCAATATCCTCTAAATTAAGCCTCTTGCTACAAGAACCTTCCTCTCTTTTTGAATTCCCAACTCTACCCCTTCTATACTCTGGAGAGAATGCATCAGTTTTACTCCCAAAAAGAATCAAAGACATGTACTCACCAATTGGTTCATCATTGACATGGTTCATATTTCTCAATGGAGATTCTACATGAACTTCAGCCTCATATTTAGCCCCTTGATCATCATTTTCTGGTAATTCCTCAATGACAACTTTACCCTTTGCATTTGGAGACATGAAGTATGTGAGTAGATTTGTCTTCCCATGTTCTGTGTACACTTCAATCAACTTGTTATTTTGAATAAATTTAGAAAGATTGATAACATCCTGATCATTCCCTAAAGCTCTAAGACCAAATTGAAAGTCACCATTGGGTATCCTGAAATGGTAGTATATCACTGGGGATTCAACACTCAATTCAATCATCCGTGGGTCTGGGTAACCTAGGTCAAGCATTATGGCATCAAGTTCATGTACAGAAAACTCATCTATGTCCACATAATCAACATAACGCACTTCACCTCCAGTATACTTTATGTCAGGTAACTTAGTAAACTTCCCACCATGATGAAGCTTAATACTAAACCATGTGGGTGCACCCGCTACAAGTCAAAATTGTACATGATAACAAAGTCAAAATTTGGCGGATTTTAGTATAAATCAAGGGTAAAATGAAAAATAGGAATGTTTAAGAAAACAGAGCAACTTACCATATAAGGATGATACGTCGACAACTTCATTTTTTGGTCTGATCTGCCACATTACGTACACCATTTCGACTTTAAAGTATGACCTTGTCTCCTTTTGCTTCGATTAGGTTCTTTCGATAACGACTTTTTTTTTTTTTGCAGGTTTAATGGAGCAGAAGGAAGAAGGAGGGAGGTGGGGAGTTGACGGGTGTTTGGGATTGTAAATGAGGGATAAAAGGTAGAAAGGAAGTGTTGACACTGTAAGTAAAAGGACAGAAATACCCTCACGTGCAAGGCACATGAGGGGGTTAACGGATGGAATTTAACGGGTGTTAAGTATAGGGACCATTCTCACAAACAAACCAGTCCAAAAGGACCACAAAACCAAAAAACTCGTGGTTTGGACTTTTTTCCTGAAAAAATGCAAACCACAGGGACCATTTTTGCAATTTTGTCTAAATTTTAAATAAGATAAACATGAGTGTTATAATTTGTGGTTCATCCGTAATTACCTCGGCTACTAGCGAAGCGGTTAGTCTCCCTAAAAAATGTAATCGAAGAAACGAAACAATGCGCCGGAAGAACATAACCGGAGAAAAGAACATAATCGCCGAAACAAATCAACTTGCCGAAAAAACTATTATCCGCCGCCGCATTGCGCGGGTACACTACTAGTATATATATAATACATATATAACTAGAAGATGAAAAGTTTTAAGACCAAATCTTAAAAATAAGGAGGTTGCATTTTGACCTTTAGATGTAACTTGAATGGTCAAGATATGTGAAAAAAGGTTTAAACAAACAAAGATACTCTTTCGTTATACTCCCTTCGTCTCAATATTATTGTCCACAGACAAAAAACACATAGATTAAGAAAATCATTAATTACCACTAACTTTATATAATAAAATGATAGTTTTGCCTTTACTTTGCATTTAATGTTGCATTAAATGCTTAGTTTGTTAAGTAATAATGAGGGGTATTTTGGTAAAAATGTTATTTATTTTTAAAAGTGGACTATTATTTTGGGACAAACCAAAAAGGCAAGGTGGACTATAATTTTGGGACGGAGGGAATATAAAGTATTGATACTATAACTATTCGTATGTTTTATCTCTTTAGAAAATGCTCTCTCATCCCTTTGTCTAAAATGTAAAAACCCTAGCCGGCTCTTACATCTGCAAACCCTAATAACTCTCACTTCCTCTCTCTCTACAAACCCTAACCCCTTCTTGCACCTGCAACACCACCACATGCTGTCATTTTCAAGCCACCATATTCCTTTGCCCTTTGAAGAAAATGGCATAATCCCTACCATCGGACAACCACAACAGCCATCATTTGAGCCTTCAACTAACATTCTTTTGCCTTCTTCCACTCAAATATGCTCTCCTAACCATTTTTTAAACCTTAGATCTAAAAATCGTTTACAGCCACACTCAACAACCTTCCTTCTAATTACCGTTACATAGACCTTCACCACTCACATAAAAACCACCACCACTCTCACCACATCATTAATCCCATTTAGATATGAGAAAACGAAGGAAATAGAGAGAGACAAAGATGAGAATAAGTATGGGAGATATACTTTACCAAACATTAATCTTACTTTTTCTGTTGATAAATTTTAATTATGTCGTGTAAATGTTGAATATGTAATAGTTATGTTTAGATATGTAAATATTCGTGTTGATAAAGAAAATCACAGTGAAGAAGCGTCAAATTTGAGTTCTTTAGTAAAAAAGGTTTATGTATTATGATATTTATTGTATTTGTTTGGGTATTGTGTAAAAGCTTTTTTAGATTTATGTAGTATTTGTATTAGATGTTGAGGAAAATCTCTTATCAGTATCTCTATCTCTAGTCTCCGGTTTCTAATCTTAAGAAAAGACTCCTACACTAACCACCTGTCATCTTTTAAGCATTGCTTTATGCCACGTGTCATTCTACCATCATTCTACTATGTTATCTTTTAAGTATTGCTTTATGCCCCGTGTCATTCTACCATCATTCTCCTCTTTCATTTTCCCGCCCATTGCACCATCATCCATCCACATTCATTTTCAATCCCTAAATATTAGCAGTTCGGTTGTATCATCAATTGACTCAAAATCAGTTTCCATATTCTATTTTATACCCATAATTCATTCCTACAAATAAGGAATTTTGAACCAGTAATATTTATGGCGTGATTTTTTTTTTTTTTTGGTATATTTACAACGTGAATGGAGGGTTTCAAAATTAGAAATTTGAATACCCCGTCTTCCATAACTATACCATGCGTTTCATCATCTGATTATCTCGCTGTATTAGTAGCTTCATGGTAGAAACGTTATCCACTGGAAGAGCTATTCCGCTATATTTGATTTTTTTCCTATAAAAACCCTAGCCATCGCCGCTAATTGTCTTTATTATTGAACAAATCGTCATACCTTCTTCTTGTATGCAAAAATCAACAAAGGTTAGTCAGATATCTCTTTTTTCTATTTGAGCACTAAAATATCCATATTTATGTTGATGGTTGTTTATTTTTTGTCTAACGCTTTGGAGGAACACAATAGGCAGGTGCAATCTGCTGTCTTTCTCCTTTGCATCATTGGAAACTCTCATTGTCCAGGTGCTAATTAAACTTGATCTTTTTATAGTTTTTTTTTAAAGAACACAATAGGTAAATCTTTGTTTGAGTACTATAAAAGTTTCTTCATGATGTATGTTCATATGATTACTGTGAACAATATTGTTTTTTTACATCAATTAGAATACTAATCTTTACGTAAATGTTCATTTCAATTATCTAATGATATCTTCATGATGTTTTGGCCTTCTTTGTGTGTTATTCTGATATTTAATTGCTTTGTTTGTTCTTATTGGTGTAGGCGTGACAAGACTAATCCAAGATTTCCATTTAATTTCATTTTGTTATTCAGGTTCATATAGAAGAGAAACAAAGTTAGGCAATATTAAATAGCTACTCTCCATAGATTCAATTCAAAATATACATGTTTAATCTAACTAATTTTTCCGATTTTACAATCCAAGAAGTAATGAAATTGATATCAAATTCCATTATCATGTTTAATTTTGTTGAAGATACAGAACAACTCATTCAAAACATTTTTTTTTTTTTATGTACAATTAGAAAACTGAATGATACTTTAGTTTCTTGCCTATTTGTATTGATACTTTAGTTTTCTATAAAACTATATATCGAATATAAAATCTACTATTTTCTATAAAAACATATACATATATATGAAAGGTAATATGTTTTATAGACCATGTTTAAAATGATGTTAAAATATTAAAAAACAAGTCTTGACCATTTTGCCCCTTCATCATTTTTCTGGCTTGGTGTTGTTTTTGTGCATTCTACTTGAAAGTATCTGTTGATGTTCTTTTATCTTCGTTTACTCTAGCATTTTTTGTTTTCATGGCTGTTGATGGAGTGTTTTAGTGATTTGACCATTTTACCCATTTGTTGAGAGCGAAAGATTCATTTCATATATATAATTACTAATGGAAATCTTGGTGATGTTAAACTAGAGGCTTTTTATATTTAGTCTAGAAGTTTTTTTCAAGTTGGGGCATTGATGGGATTTTTTATTGTCTTCTTATTTTCCTGCTAAAACCAAAAAACTATTTTAATTTTCATTTTTCTGTACTATAGTGTTTTGTTTATATTTGCTTTAAATAATGGGAGTTGCTAATGTTGGCTGCGATTCAAAGTACATTGCTATAGCAGGGTAGACAAGGTTGGTTTGCTCCTTACAATTCAATGTTACCAATATCATTTTTATAAGGTTTATTTTCGTGTGTTGTAAATTGTTGTAGTTTTAAACTCTTTGTATCTATATATAATTATTATAATAATATATTTATTGTAATTATGTTAAGCATATAATGAAAGTGAAGCACTTAACGAAATGATTATAAAATTAGAGAATAATGTTTTACTTAAACTCCATATATGTGACCTGTTTAGCATGCATTAAAAGTTTTTTTTTTTTTGGTTAGTATCTGGTCGTTACTTATATAATCTTCATTTGTTATTATTTAAAACCTTTAAAGCATCTGAATTTTTTCAGTCATTTGTTAGTGACCTCCTAAGTACGCAAGCATAAAAAATATACAAATATATGATTTGAGAGAAATTTATACTATTTTATTATATTTTAAGGACCATTTCTAAAACTTTCTCTTATATTATAATAATGTACTTTGATAGGGAGGGAAATTTTGATCTTTTTTTTTCAAACTTTTTTTCAACAAAATAGTAGAGAAAAATAATATTACATGCATTAAAACTTTTTTTCAACAAAATAGTAACAGAGAAATAAATATTATCCACTTGTCAATTTTTGAAATAATTTTTTTTTCAAACTTTTTTTCAACAAAATAATATTACATTACAGTATTGTATTTTTGAAAACTCTTATATTTGTGATGAAAATATTGGACATTGATCATTTATGTAACTGTGTATTACTTTTACTATTTTTAATTAAGTCCTTAATCAGTTATGAACAAGTGCTTTTAAATTTATGATTAAATACTAGGTTTTTCATAATTATATATTTTTGTAGATTTGGCAACCCTATATAGTACACGGATTATAACCTAGTATTTTTATATATTGCTTCATTTATATATTTTGCTCATCCTTTGTTTGCTTGATTTTCTTAGGTTTTCGTAGTGTTGTAGGATTTGAAGAGAAAGTATTTTGAAATTCAAAAAATAAAACCTAGAGTTGTTATGATTCGTATTAATGAATAAGAATGTTGTTCGTAATTCGTATTTATTGTTTTGGTTTCCCATTTACGATTATTGATTAGCTGTATTTTCTTAATATTTAAGAAGTTTGATAGTTTTTACATATATTTTATTATAAGTTACTTTTGACATTTTTTTTTAATTTATTACTTTAGTATCTATATTATGTTGTGTATATAAAATAAAACAATATAATCTTCGAAACTGATATAATTTAACAAATTAAATAATACATAAACTATGTGGGAGTGAAAGTGATTATATCTTGTTTGAGAAAATAAGTGTCAAATGGATTGAGCTTTAAATTGTGTTGTACCTAGAATGTCTTAATTGTCAGGGAAATGATCTTTTATTTAAAAGGAATAAGAAAAACCTGAAAAGTTAAATTGCAAAAATGGTCCCTGTGGTATGCAAAATTTTGGGGTTTTAGTCCAAACCACGAGTTTTTTGGAACCATAGTCCTTTTGGAGTGGTTTCTATGTGGTTTTGGTCCCTGGACTTAACTCCCGTTAAGTTGGAACTGTTAAGCCCCCTCACGTGCCTCACACGTGAGGGTAATTTCGTCATTTCATGTCAGGGACCATTTTTGCATAAACGGTTTTTTGGATTAATTGACATTTACCCCTCATTTACTTTCCCCAACACTTGTCAACTCCCCAACTCCCTCCTTCTTGCTTCTGCTCCATTGAACCTGCAAAAAACCCTCGTTGCTTATCTAAACAAGATAATCGACACTACACATATAAGGGCATACGTTTAATAGGAAATGGTGTTCGTAATGTGGCATATCAGACCAAAACACGAAGTTGTTGATGTATCAACTATATATGGTAAGCTGCTCTGTTTTCTTTAACTTTTATACTTTGCATTTTCTTATTGATTTAGAACAAAAAAATGCAAAATTTTAACTTTGTTAATATGTATAATTTTGATTTTTAGCTGGTGCACCCACATGGTTTAGTATTAAGCTTCATCACGGTGGGAAATTTACTAAATTACCTGATATAAAGTACATTGGAGGTGAAGTGCGTTATGTTGATTATGTGGACATTGATGAGTTTTCTGTGCATGAACTTGATGCCATAATGCTTGACCTAGGTTACCCAGACCCACGGAATTCTGAATTCGTTGATCAATCCCCAGTTATATACTACCATTTTAGGATACCCAATGGTGACTTTCAATTTGGTCTTAGAGCTTTAGGGAATGATCAGGATGTGATCAAGATTTCTAAATATATTGCACATAACAAGCTGATTGAGGTGTACACAGAGCATGGAAAGACAAATTTATTGACTTACTTCATGTCACCAAATGCAAAGGGTAAAGTTGTCATTGAGGAATTACCAGAAAATGATGATCAAGGGGCTAAAGTTGAGGGTCAAGTTCATGCAGATTCTCCAATGAAAAATGTGAACCATGGTAATGGTGAGCCTATTGGTGAGTTCATGTCTCTGATTCTTTTTGGGAGTGGAGAATGATAGTTTCTCACCAGAGTATAGAAGGGGTAGGGTTGGGAATTTCAAAATAGGTGAAAGTTCTTGTAGCAAGAGGCTTAATTTAGATTATATTGATGAGGTTGTTCACATTTCAAAGGAAAAGAATGATGATCCGGATGGTTCAACTAATGTTCAGGAGGCAGCAACTTGTGTTCATATTGATGAGATGGATGGTGTTAGGGAGGCTGCAAATGTTGTTCAAGAGGCATCAACTTTTGATGAAGAAGGCTACAACACCCCCCTGTTAATAATGCTGATGAACAATTGAATGAGTTATTTGATAACCTTATGGAAAATTTGATTGGGAGTGATGATGATAATGCAGAGTATGAAGGGGATGGAGAATCTGAAGAGGGTAATCAAGAGTATGAAGAGGATGATGAATCTCAAGAAAGTGATCCAAATTTTGAAGAGTATGATGAATCTGAAAATAGTGATCCAGAGTATGAAGAAGATGAGAGACAAATAGAAGATGAAGATCATATGGATGACATAATGGATGTTGACAACAATATACAGGATGTGGATGTGGACATGGGAGACTTCACTCTCAATGTTGAAAGTGATGTGGAAGGTTCTTGTATAAATGTTGTTCATGGGCATGAACCTGAAGATATGGAAGTGATTAACAATGAGGAATTTGAATCTTTGGATGAAGGATCCGACCAAGACAGAGAGAGAAGAGCTCTTATCAAGAATTTGAGAAAAGAAAAAAGGTGCAGTCTTGGGGTAGTACATAAACAATCTTTTTCAGTTGGAGATAAATTTAATAGTAAAAAAGAATTAAAGGAGGCAATTGATCTGCATGCACTAGAATCAAGAAGGAATCTTTTCTTTAAAAAAAATGACAATGTAAGGCTTAGGGCACAGTGTAGAGGTGTTGTACCTGTCACCAATAAAGGCCAAGTGGGTAGTCAAGCTACCACTTCAAAAAGAAAGGGTAAAGAATTAAAGACACAAAAAGTAACATGTGGTTGGTACATTCATGCATCTAGGTCAAATCCTGAATCCGACTGGTTTATAAGGACCTTAAACCAAACTCACACATGTTTGCAAACAAGGAAACTCAGGGCTTGTACTGCTTCTTTAATCAGCAAGAAAATCTTTGATCAAGTTGAGGCGAATCCAGATATACCTTTGAGAGCATACAAGATCACTTTCAAAAGACCTACCAAGTGGGTGTTAGTATGGACAAGGTGTTCAGGGCAAAGGATAAGGCAAGAAAGCATATAACTGGTGACTACACAAAGCAGTATGAACTGTTGAGGGACTATGTTCTCGAACTTCAAGCCACCAACCCAGACACCACAGTGAAAATAGATGTATGTTCTGAGCCTAACCCTGATTCCCCAACTAGGCAGTTTAGAAGAATTTATGTGTGCTTGGGTCCACTGAAAAAAGGGTTCAAGGCATGCCTTAGGGACTTATTAGGTTTTGATGGTGCCTTCATGAAAGGACCATTCCCTGGGCAAGTCCTTTCAGCAGTTGGTCTTGATTCCAATAATGGAATTTACCCATTAGCATATGGGATTGTTGAGTCTGAAAACACAGAAAGCTGGAAATGGTTTTTAGATAACCTTGGGGATGACTTGGACCTTGGAAGAAACTCAAATTTTACTTTCATAAGTGACAGGCAAAAGGTAAAGTTGGAAGTAGTTTTTATACATTTGGTCATTTAAAGTGTGGTTGTAAGTTAATTCTAATGATTGAAATTAATTTTTGCAGGGTTTACATACTGCAGTTGAGCAAATTTTTCCCAATGCTGAGCATAGATATTGTATCAGACATATTCATGACAATATGAGGAAAAGATGGAGGCAAACAGAGTACAGGGACCACTTATGGAGGTGTGCATCAGCTACCACCATTCCTGAGTTTGAACATTTGATGAAGGAGTTTAGTCAGTATGATAAGGAGGCATGTGAATGGTTGAAGCAAATTCCTCCTAAACATTGGGCAAGGAGTCATTTTTCAGGTAAATCTATATATTCCAATTTGGTCCTTATGTCTTTCACTTAGTGAACTGTTTTACTTGTATGTGAATTGTATTAAATGTTTTTTAATTGTAATTTACACACAGGAAGAGCAGTTTCTGATGTGTTGATATCAAACATGTGTGAAGTGTTTAATGGGAAGATAGAGAAAGGAAGGGATAAACCTGTCATTGGATGTTTAGAATTCATAAGGGAGTATCTAATGAAGAGGATATGCAATGTCATGAAGGAAATGAAAAAGGCTAAAGGTCCACTAACACCCACAGCAACAGACATCCTAGCTGCAAGAAAAACAGTTGCTTCACAATACATTGCTAGGTGGAATGGGGGAGACAAGTATCAAGTCACAGGAGCTTTGCAGGATCAACATGTGGTTGATGTTAGGAACAAAACATGCACTTGCAGAAAATGGGAATTAATTGGAATTCCATGCAGACATGCAATTGCAACTCTGAATGAGATGAGTAAAGACCCAGAGGCTGAGCTTGACATTTACAAATGGGTTCACAAGGTGTATTTTCTAGAGACATGGAAAAAGGCTTATTCTTTTAAGGTGGAGCCAATTAAGGGTAGATCCATGTGGCCCAAAAGTGAATGTCCCACAAAGCTAATCCCTCCTCCACATCGCACTCAGGTGGGAAGGCCTAAGAAAAAGAGAAGACAAAGTGAGGGTGAAAGGTTAAGCAAAAAGCAGAAGGCAAGTCAAGGTGATGGAGTGAATGCTGCACAAGAAGGAGGTTCCCAAAAACCAACAAATGATGGAGTGCAGAAGCTATCAAGGAAGCATATCAGTGTTACTTGTAGCAAATGCAAGAACAAGGGACACAACTCTAGGACCTGTAAAGGGCAAAGTGGGAATCAATCCAAGAAGTAATGTGTCATGCATGCATGGAGTTTTTTGTGATTTTGGTTGGTTATGAAAACTTGGTTGTTATGTTTACATTATTTTGTTGAAATTTTTTGGTTGGTTGTTATGAAAACTTGGTTGTTATCTTAGGTATGGTAATGTGTCCCTTTTGGTAATGTTTAGAATCTTTGGTTGTTATGTTTAGAAACTTTGGTTGTTATATTACAAATCTTAATGAAATGTGCATTTTGGTTATGTACAATTGGTTCTAATATATATATATTTTTGTAACACATTCATACCATTTCTATTCATATGTTAATTCTTATACATTCATACCATTTTGGTAAAACATTCATTACACTTGCATCATAAAATTGTACATATATCATTATCATCATAAGTCACTACAAACTTGATCACATAAAATTACAAAAAAAAAATGACCAAAACACCCTTCAAAGTATACCCCTACACAAACCAAATATAAAAGAATACAATCACAAAGAAAAACCAACTTCCAAACATGTACATTTTCAGCTTCAAATTATCATCCTTCAATGCTCTGACATTTGCCACCAAAATGTTGTTCTTGCATATCAGTCCATTGCATTGATCCTGTAGCATGTTCATACCTCTAACCAACTCATTGCACCGTTCCTGCACTGAATTCAAATTTCTTAGCAGACCAGGTATGATGGCTTTAGACCTAGCACACATTGGGGGATCAAGCCACCCAATAAACCCACAAACGGAATCATTCATAGGGCATGCAAAAAATCTCCTTCCTAGATTTAGAGGGGTCCAAGACGTTTTCACCACAGCAACTTTTCCACAAAAACATAGCACCATTTTTGTTGTAGCAGAGCTCAAGAAGAAGAAGGGTAGAAGAAAAGAGACGTTGGGGAAGAAGACTGCAGGAAGTGGGGGTATTTAAAAGGAATTAATCCAAAAAACCGTTTATGCAAAAATGGTCCCTGACATGAAATGACGAAATTACCCTCACGTGTGAGGCACGTGAGGGGGCTTAACAGTTCCAACTTAACGAGAGAAGTCCAGGGACCAAAACCACATAGAAACCACTCCAAAAGGACTATGGTTCCAAAAAACTCGTGGTTTGGACTAAAACCCCAAAATTTTGCATACCACAGGGACCATTTTTGCAATTTTGTCTACATTTAAACTAATATATTGTCCTTTTCGATTTTGTTGCATCGCTGTTATTTTTATATTTTTTTTTATTTAATTTATCATACAAAAATATTTATGGTTTATGATTTGGTATAATTCTCCCAACTATATTACATCTATCAAATAATACTCCAGAGAAAACTAATAAATAAATATTACAATCAAAATAATTCAAATAAATAAACGTTAAAAGTCAAATAAAAAGATGATTTCAAGTACATAATATGGCTAATAATCTTATGCAATATATTGATATGAAAAACAAAGAAAATGTTATATTTGAATAAATAAAAAATAATAATAATAATATTGTTGAATTTTCAGACGCATGGTTTAAAGGAGAGTTCATAAATAATAGTAAAATACAATTTCAAGTGTTTAAGTGTATTATGTTAGATAAAAAAAAAAATGAAATGTTAACAATATTCACATAGTTTTGTGAAAAAATATAAATCGCTAATAAGTTATTTTGTTAAATATATACGAGACTAAACATTAGAATCACAATGTAATTTGTAAAACTATTGAAAATAGATCATTATAACAATAACTAGGTGTGATATTATACGGATTGATTTAAAAAAAGATTAAACATTAAATTAAAATGTAAACATAAAATATTTTTTAATGTACAACTTTTAAAATAAAAAAGGAAGAAAACGTATTTATTGTAAGGGATAATGACTTGAAAGGGTAACGGAATTTCGACTTTTGTCACATTTAGTCACTAAACATTTTTTCGTTATCTATTTGCCATTGAACTATTGAAACTGTTTACATTTTACCCTTATGACCGGCTGTTGCCGGTCATAAGGGTAAAATGTGAACAGTTTCAATAGTTCAATGACAAATAGATAACATAAAAAAAGTTTAGTGACTAAATATGAACAAAATCGAAAATTCGTTTCCCTCTAAAAAGTTCAATGACTAAATGTGAACAACTTCCTCTTGTATTATGTTTTAGCAAATTATTTATTTTTGTTAAATTGTAGCAACATTTGTTGATGAAGAAATCTATGGAAAAAAACAAAACAAAACCCTGAAAATATATTTTAAAAAAAAAAACAAAACCGAAATAAAAAACCAATGGTTTGACATTTTTCAAAATAAAAAATCAAAATTTCCAATCTGATCTTGGTTTTACAAAAAAAATGAACCATTCTCACTAATGTGAATTATGACCATTGGTTTGGCATGCGAAATTTGTGACATCCCATGAATATGTAGTTACAACAT